GGGGGCAATGGAACATATGGGGTGAATGAAGGGGGTACGAGGGGGCAATGGATGAAACACAAGGGGTGGAATGAAGGGGATGCTTCGCGATTGCATGGTTGGGGTGCAGCTTTCGGTCGTATAGGGAGGGCGGGAAGAACACTGCGATCACGAAAGACCAAGAGACAGGAGCCCTGTAAGGGGCCCCCTCTGCAGTTAAAAGGGTTGGCTCCCGAAGCCCTCTTGAACCAATACAAAAGACGACTTGCGGCAAACTCCCCTACCGCCGCTTGGGATTGGTTTGCTGAAAACCTTGAGCGAGGGTGGTGGAAGAATCTGACACGAACAAACATACACAGTAAACACCAGCTCCCAATGATCCTATTGGAGCAAGGTGGCTGTCTTCTTGGGGTCTTGAGCTGATTCCTGTTGGCTATATGTTGTCCTCATACCCGTGCTGCAGTAATCAGTAACAATCACTATCCCTAACAATCCTCCTCGCCTTCTATCAATTTATCATGGAAGTGGACAATGGTCCCTTGGGAAGTTTGACCATACCTATGTTTGGTCGAATAAAGGGTCAGCAAGACCATCCGATGCCCAGCCACACTTCGAAGAGATCCTCCATGTTGTCCACCGAGACATGCTCCAACACATTGGGTGGCAGCACATCCAATGGCACGCCGGCCACCTCTTCGCGCGTCAAACAGCCACTGCCATCCGCATCCAGTCCACTGAAGATTTGAAGCAGCTGAGGCATCGTGGCTTTGATCTGTTGTTTCTTTCCTGGCTGCGGCTGTGGATCAAAACCTGGACGCACCCTCCTGTAGAGAACCACATGGACTCTTTCGAACATGGTTGCAGGCCACACAGTCATTTGTAGGGTCGGGATCGTCTACAGGGGAGGACCCAAACCGATCGGTTCTGGCCCTGTTCCGGAATCCGGTCTTGTTGGTCCAACGGCTGAAGCGCTTGGGCACTGCCAACCGGGCATCCCGTCCGGGGCTGCGGGGCCGAGAGTCGTTTTGGCTGGGGGCTGGGGGGCACTCGTTCCTGCAACGTGCCTCCCGATGATGTGGCATCCAGCACAAAAAGGATGAACAAGGGATAGAAAAGGTATCCACAAACAAATTGGATGGCACATGTTCAAGAGATTTCAAGAGTTTTGCTTGGTCGAATTCTCACCTCTGTGCCTTCTCGTGGCTTATATAAACGTCGATGAAATCCACCTCTTCATGGATTTCTGCAATGCACCTCTTGGTGGAATTCTGCACTGCCCCTCATGATGCTCATGCTGTCTGACAGCACATCACGCTGACTGGGACAACTTCACCTTGTTCACCCCTTGTTCATTCAAGCAGTTTCAGCCCAGCACAAACACACAAGTAAAAAACCTCCGGAGAAAAATGAACACCACAACATTCAGCTTTTCCATTCAAGGTGCGAACCTTTGCCAGCTCAGCTTCCTGCTTGGTTTGTTCCAATGCCTTCCTTGTGGCCCAGGCCAGGCCGCGCGGAGACTGGAACGACTCAGGAGGGGAACGACCTTGAAAGTAATCTTTTGATTAGTTTAAAGACCCCCGTCATTGGGATTGTTTAAGACCTCTTCATATGTGGTAGCGGGGTTTCGTTCATCAAGCGTCTTCCCTGTGGGGGTGGCTTCTTGAAGGAGCACCAGGCACTCCTCCACCATAACGTGTGGTCCCCAAAAGACCACCGAACGTTCCGGTCGAAGCAAGGGACCTCCACGCTTCGATTCGCGCAGGGGATTCCGGTCGCTCGAACGGGTGGGTTCCGGGCCAGCATCGAGCTTCAGTGACACCCCGAAAAGAACCGAGAAACAGCTACTAGTCACAAGAAGCTACTAGTAACAAGGGCATCGCTACGAACGGAGCACAGGGCGTCCCTACGAACGGAGCAAGGATGCGACTAGTGGCTCCGGTCTTACTACTAGTAGCAAGAAGCTACTTGAATGCCAAGGGAGAGCCTCATCTTGTTACAATGCACCGTACACACCCGAAAGCACCGAACGAGGGTGGCCTGAAAACAAAGGCGGATCCTTATGGCAGCCGGCCTCCGTCTGGTACGAGTAACGAATGGCAACATGTCCTGGAAGAACTACCCGTAACTACCAACTGCTTCCAAGGGGTCACTAGTGCACAACCCCAAAGGACTTGAAATAGGTCTCCATGGCGCACCCCTCAGAACCGGTCAGAACTACACTACAGTAGTGCACAACCCCACACGACTTTGTGTCTCCAGACTTCTTTCAACCACTTTTGCGGATGCTAAGTCTCTCCACCAGCACTGCCGTCACCAGATTCATCAGTGCAATCCTCAGCGCTTCTTCACCAACGCTACCGGTCTGGCGAGTCTGGGAGCAGAACGACGGACGTCGTGGACGTCGTGGACATGTTTTTACCCGCAAAAGGGATGGAAAGCACTCCGAGGAACACACCACATGGAAGTGGAAACCAGTGTCTGTAGAGGAACAGTGTCTTTCCAGGGGTCAGGCCCGGTCAGGCCATCCACTTCCATGTGATGCGGTCGCCCAGATGGTATATTCATGTATATTCAATGAGATGCCACTTTTTTCTGTGGAACTGCGTCATTCATGGACAAACCTTCTGAAGTACCCATCCAGCTGGAGGGCACCGGGTCTGTAGACTGCATATAGGGTGTCCATTCTTCACCTGGTCCAACGACAGGATTCGAGCGGAATTGGATCTCTTGACAAGCGGAAATCAGTGGTTCCCACGAAACATGTGGAGCCGGAAGCCATGGTTCCTTTTACAGAGTGCTAAGTCAGATCCACTAGATATGGGGGAAGCCACCAGGGCCCCCACATGACCATCAAGCATCGGGTTTTCCCTACCAAAGACCCCGTTTTTGTATGTGAAATCCTCTAATTCGCTCATAGGTTTGAGGGCATGTATCCCGCAAAAAGGTCAACAGGGTGAAGCGACCTTTTGAGCTGACGGTTGAGAATCCGGCGGTTACCCCTGACGATGCTTGCGCTTGTCTGTGCCAGCCTCAGGCCCGGAACCGGCGTGGACCACCACAATAACGTTGGAGGTGGCACAAGGAACCACAAAGCAGCAGCTAGTTTGAAGGGCAGCGTTGATGAAGCCTTACATATATAGTTTCTAGTCGTTTTAGTCATCTAACCTACACTTGTCATGCCTGGATCGTTAGGCTCGGCTTGCTCCTCCAGTCCCAAATCCGATCCGAAGGTCGATAGGAACATCAGCAAAGGGAGAAAGTAAATGAGAAGCACCGGCTTGGCCATGATCAGTGGGAAGTACACGTTGGCAATCGCATCCTCGGGCGACTGACCGTTGATTCCTACACACTCCGTGGTGATCATGCGGGCTTCGTCTCTGTATTATCAGACTGAGAGTCAACACAGTTTGGCATTCCCGAGAGTTGGGGACAACATCCTCAAGGCAGTAGGCGTCTTCAAGTGTGGACATGTCACCAACATCAACACAGGGAACCCTCAAAAAACATCAGAAAAAACACCTGCTCCACTTTAGGTATGCCGAGGTGATCTTCTGCACCTCTACTTCGGCCTTCCAGCAAAATCATCTTCCATGAGCCACTGCTTCAATTGGGGTTTGGTTCCTTGCTTGACCAAAAATCGGGGTGCTGCAGTTGTTGCACCAAACATGAGAACAAGCGCCCAAAGCTGAGAAAAAATGGAAAAAGAACGGATGACACCAGCTTTTTCCTGCTCAACCCTATCCCACAGAATTAACTCCAACCTAAACAGTGATTATTTGAAACCCTTGGTTCCATATAGGTTTTACGTTATGTGTTTACTCTCATTCTTTAAGGAGAGCTGCGTCCAATATTCTAAGGTTGCAAAGAACAAACAAAGAGTCAAGTATCAATCTTAGTATTCTATGTATCTCTTTGTCCATCTTTTTTTTGATGGGCTTCAGTCTGATTTAACAGAACACGCAAATTGAGGAGTAATTGTGGGGACACATGCAGAAGTGACATGTTTGTTGTCTCTCAACTGTTAAGGTTCCTATCTCCTTTCGGCCGCCAAAATCAGTCTCAAAAAGCCGGGTGCTCAGGGAGGTCAAACTAAAGGTACAGTCGGCATCCGCCTAACATGCCGCCCATGACCAAACCTAGCGTCCAAGGTCACGAACTGCAGTAAGGTCAGGGTCGACCTAGGCAAGCTGGAAAAGTGGTTCTTGATAATGTCCTCCTGAAGCACGATCCTTGCTGCGCTTTCTGGTGGATAGCTCTTGGGCGTGCACGCTCATTCTCGGAAGTTCTCTTGAAAGCAATGGAGAAGTCGAGGTGTGACCCTTGCCGCAGGGAGGGGTACCATGTAAAAAAATGAGATGCCTGTTTTAAGGTCTAAGGGCACTCCCACCCGTCAAATCCAAGTCTTCACGAAGCCAACGGAGAGATCGAATCTGCCAGCGAAAGCGTCTTCGGCTCCGCTGAATGTATGCTGACCCAGACCATCAGAACATGCCATGTATTAGGGCACATGATATGCCTGACCCCAGGTCAACCACCCCAATGGCCATATAGCTCATATAGATGGATGGTATGGATGATGGTTGCCAAACCCATGACGTTGGATCCTCGATCGGGTCGCCCTTTCGCCACCACCCACGTTCGGTGCCGTGGTAGATCGTTGGAGCATGGCCATGGGCATCTCCGGTTTCTGTGTTCTACACTCCCTGAAACCATCCATGGGTTACCTGAATGGCATGGCCTAACTAAACCATATGATTCCTGTACCAATTATTTGCGGATTGTCACCTTCCAATGTTTAAGTTGGAGGGGGGGTATGATGTTCACTTCTGAAGTGAACCGTGGAACAAACATTGGATCAACCACCGCCCAAGTGGCAATTCCTCATCGCTGGCGATCACTTCCACCGCGATGCAGCCGAAGATGTAGAGCCACAGCAAGATCAAGCAGGTGGTGGAAGCCATCGTGTCCCAGACTGAGAGCAATCCAGAGACCAAGCGCCAAACCTGAGCTTGGCGCTTAGGAGCTTGCCAGGTCGGAGGTCGAACATGGTGGAAGAAGTATAGCAAAAAGACCACCCCCCAGGCCTGAGGAAGCCCAGGCTCGCACCAGCCAGGCTTGGACCCACGTTTGGTGCTTGGGGGAAGCAATCAAATGGACGTCAGAGATCCAAACGGGTGTTTGCGTCCAGTTGGCCCAAGAAAACCTCCCTACAGTCAGAAGTGGCACATGATTCACATCGTACCACAACTTCATTGGGCATCAAATGCTCCAAATCTGGAGCCTTACTTGTTCAACCTGCCTCTGCTCCTCATCTATATCACGTCTTTCCCTGACTTCCTCAAATTTCCTCAAACTCAACTCCTGCCATCGAAACGACGCCCCCCAAAAAGCAACAACAACAACAACAACGACAACGACAACGACAACGACAACGACGACCCGCAGCCCACCCCCCCGGCGTCAACCGCCTCGCCAGGCGGCCACCTTGAAGCGCTTCAAGGTCCGGAGGATCCGCGCCAGTCTCAGCAGCCTGAGCAGCGAGGGAACCAAGTGATGCTCCCACGCGGCGTGTAAGGCTGTAGGAGACCGACCGGGCATCACTAGCTGTGAGGTGAAGCGGCATGAGGGCTCCAGGTTTTGACCTCTCCCCAAGTGAATTTGGCGGAGATTGCTTGGGGAGAGTCCTTGAAAGGGAAGTTGGACACCAGGACTTCTGTGGCCAAGATCTCCGGATTTACCTGTGAGACAGGCAGCCTTGGACAATTCTGTAGCAGGCCCCTTGGTCCTTCACAGACTGCTCCACCAAAAGGGGGAGCTCCACCATGCGCCCCGATGGCGTCACCGACCTGCCGGTCCCGGTCGCCTCAAGCCTCGCACGATCAACAAGTTCTCCCAGCCCTCCTGCGATTGAAGCGGATCAACTGGGATGTTCCGACGCTTTCGGGCTGGGAGGACTTGACCGAAGCTGTTGAGTTGTGAGGAAAGTTGGGTGCACTGGTTGTAAGGTGCACTGGTAAGTTGTGACCGAAGTGCCCCTGGCAGTCGTAGTATTTTTGGGGTCCTTGAGGACCGTCCAAGCCTACACGTTCGCAAAATCTCTCCAATCACGTTCTCAAAGGAGGATCCAAGGTGGATCCATAGGGTATGAGATGCTTCCAGTGTTTCTCCACTGCCCAAAACAGTTGGATGTTCTTCAGGATCTTTCACTACAAAACTAGGACTAGGTCAAACGTCAACCGTGTTTTGCAAAGGCACACGAAAACGAACAGGGTCCGATCTCCTCCGTTCCGAACTCCTGCCTTCTTCCATCTGTTCCATACCCCAAACACTCCATGTATGGTATATAAATATTTGCCTACATTGGCCCCAGGTCAACCACCCCAATGTAGGTAAATATGCCAGTCCCTTGGAGTGTCGGGGTGCAGATGCAGGTCGAACACGTACGGATGCGCACGCCCCGCGAGGAGACGAGGGCCTTGCGGTCCCACGGCTCCTGGCTGCTGCCCATGGTTTCCATCAAAGGGACCACGACCAGCGCCACCAGACCAACGAACACTAGGAAGAAATCCTGAGACAAAACGATGTTCTACGAATTTCTGGGCCCCAAATCAGCCGAGTTTCATCGAATTTCATGCTCTCTCTCTCTCTCTCTCTCTCTGTCTCTCTCTCGGAAGAATTGCTAGATTCTTGTTCTCGGGTGAGAGCATTGAACCTGTGGCCTTCACCAAGCCCAACCCTGAGCGTGTTAAGATGTGTTAAGTGTACAAATAACATCAGGTATGAGGGCGATATATGTTTTTGAACAATTGTCATCAATTGTCGCCATGTTTCTTTGGGACTGCAGCTCAGCTGGGGCAAAACTGGTGGCGACCCCGATCGACCGAAGACACAACTGTATGACTATATAATACTATATACAACAGAAACCAACGCCTGCTAACATTGTTTGAATGAGAATCTGAAGAAACCAAACAGCTACACCTCCAACATAACTCTTGGAACAACTCCCAGCCTAAAGGATGAAATTGACCTTAAGGAAAACAAGAAGGCCCCGGCTGGTAGAGAAACATCGTTTTCCAAACCCTGGCACGGACTATGGCTGTTTTGGAACATACGCAGCTCTCAGTGGCCTCAAAACACGTCACAGCTGAATCAGAACCTACACCCCGACGGCCCCGATGCTGGCTTTTTCATTGAACCGCAACATCGCTTATACGCTTCAAATGAAAACCCAACCCAAACTTAACCATTTGGGCTCAAATACTACAGGACTGTTCTTGATTCTGAACCACCACTTGGGTTTTGAATCTGAACCAAAATTCACACAACTGGGGGATTGAATCTGAACAAAATATTCCATCCTTGAGGATGCTGGAGGTACGTACGTTGCTCACTTATTCCCCTACATGCCCACGCTCATGAACCTTTTTGAGAAAGTGCTGGTGGTTCTTCATGGCCAGTGGGTGCACATGGTGACATGTTTCACTGTTTTGGGGGTGCTGCTTTACCGTGCCTGGATCTGCTATGTTTTGGAACATATCCTGGCTACAGTGTTACAGGATGTTGCAGCAAAGAAAGAACCAAACGTCAGACCCGTTTGCTATAGAAGGGTTTGTGCAAATAGTGATAATAGTGCACCGCCTAAAGGTCCTAAGTCCTAAAGGAAAAAACACATTGATGTCGGAGGGCGTGCACCATCCCCATCAACAGTGTTCCCCTTCAAGGCTCCAGCAAGAACCAGGAGTTCTTGAAACTCGACAGCCCACCGGCCACCAAGCGTAAAATGAGTTCCACGGTGTAGATCGTCAGAAAGCCTCGTTCCACTTCGGTGGCCCACTCCGTGTTGAGCTTCTGCAAGGACATCTCCGCCTCCACACCTATCAGCACCTCGTGCGATTAACAGAACTGGAAGGGCGCCGACGTGTTTACAGAAAGTGAAGATGCAGGAAACTGAAATGCGTGACATGTCATATATCCACTCACATGCAATACTTCCATGCAGACTCAAAATTTGGACGCCTGCACCAACAACGAAACATCCTGGGCCAAAGTGTTTGCTTGGATCTTCGCCTTTGGATAACTAAGAGTTCTTCATTCTTAGTAGATCCAAGTCTGCTTGAAAAGACCTCTTCCCTTCTACCACAATACCGGGCGCAATGAAGCGACCAGTTTAACAGCGAGGCAGCTTCCATTCCCGGCACGCTGTGTCTCGTGCCCGTGCGCCCTCCTGGTTCATCTGGAGCACTACAAACACCCTCTTCGGGATCAAATGACCATCCTTGAGCTCCTTGTTGAACACATGCCGCGCATTCCCGCAAGTAGCTGGGCTCTCAAACAAGCTCGAGGACGAATTGTGATATTGATTAAAATTGTAAAACATTGTAAAGCACATTGGGTTGAATTGGCGTGCTCCAGAGTGCAAGAACACAGCTTAGCAGTCCTCACAGCCATCATCATCATCATCATCATCATCATCATCATCATCATCATCATCATCATCATCATCATCAACGGGAGACAAAATAAATGCATAGCCTCGCGGCCTCCCGATGAGGAATTGTTTCAGAAAACCGTGCGCTATGATCTTCAGGCCCAAGTTAGATTTAGATCATTTAGAGGTGCAAAATCTATCAACATCGTGCCGTTATCCATCGTGGGCTTTGCAACGGAGAGTGTGTCCGAGACCGCAGCATGACCAGGAGACCTATTTCGAGTGGCCCTGACACTTATCAGCAGGGTCGGAATCAATAATGATTTCCAAGTCCGCGGGAATGCCCATCTTGCCAAACGAGGGCCCATATGCTGGGCAAGCGACACACTTGTTACCCAAGCCAACTGCATGACCCCCATAATTATTGCCCAGGAAATGTCGTCTGGATGAGACGGGCTATGTTCACGAGACCCACCTGATTGCAGCAGCTTTGATAGAGGACACCTTTTGCTTGGCAGCGCATGGTGAAGTGGCGGCCTTTGTTCCCCACTGTTCGCGCAACTCGGCGAAGGTCCGCAATTACATTTGGAAGTTGCCTGTAGCATGCGCCATCAGAAGGCCACCCACGAGCTGACAAGTCAAATCTGCGCCTTGAGTAGCCTGCACCCCCAGCAAGCCAAGTCCTTCTTCTGCCGCAAGTTCAGGCCACCGAGCTTCAAACGAAACGGATATTCATAATGAATATATATATATATATATATGTGTGTGAAGCATTCGCCATGGCAAAGCATCCCCTTGAGACCATGCAGGCCCGAAATTCAAGCTGCTCTCTGAACTCTCGTCCTCCTGCAGGGGAGGAACGGGTTGCAAATACAGCTGGCCACCCTGACCTTTAACCACATCATGCGCAGGGTGGCTCTCCTGGTTGCTCCCTGCACCCCTGTCCGGGTCACCAGGCTCATCCACAAGAAGGGCTCAGCAACAACCCCTCGGGAGGCCTTAAGGTGCCCGTCTCGGCACTTGGCCAGAAGACGGACTCGTCTGCTTCAGGCATGACACCAATTTGCGAATGGCTAAGAATCTCCAATGTGGTGTTGTGTTTGTGTGCTATGGTGCCTGGCCCTTTTTGTCTTTTTCAACTGCTAGCAGTCGTATGATTCGTCCCTGAGATGCTTCCATTGCTTCGACAGGAGTGCTTTGTGACACACCGTGAGCTTGTAGCGCCTAGGCAGCGAGCTAGCGGCCTACAGTGCTAAAGCAGCCCACCGATAGCATCGCCTGCACACGTCAACCAACTGGAGACCATACACCGGTGGGGTGCGGTATGACCGCCGAGCTGGAGGACCCCACCCTGTCCCCGTGGGCAAGCTTTGTGAACCACCCCAAGGTACCTATCATTACCTATCCCTTGACTTTGATATGAATGAGAATCCACCTTATTTTGAAAATTGGTCGTCCAAAGTCTCAGAGCCTAGGTAGGTGTTTCTAGGCTATGCGTGGAGTGTATGGGCTGAACAGCCTGAGGGAATTCCGGCATCCTGAATCAATGAGTGGTTGGAATACAATCATGACCCACATCAGAGTCATTTAACGTAAAACCCCCTATTTAGACGAGGTTTGACCAATTCCTCCAAGATCAAGTCTTGGTTCGTTCGGTCTTGGTATACCGTGCTGCCTTCTTTTCAGGCCGGGTATCCCACCCACTCTGCACATGGCAACGGTGGCGAAGACGATGGCCCGGTGGATCGGTCGTGCTGTGGGTTTTTTCGTCGGCAGTGTGCACTCACTTGGCTGACCAGTCATGTGCGTGAGTGGTCTAAAGAGGTTTTACCAAGTCCAATTGGCAATGGCCCTGGCACTGGCTCATTCATCTTAAAATCTTAGGCTTTGCGACGTGGACTTCGGTGCGTCACCTACACGTCACAACTCGCGACGTGGTGGGCTCGATCTCTGCCACCCAGGAACAATATTCACCAGGATCAGCACACCTGACCGAGCGGATCGGATATACCGAGCAGCATCTAGCTGCCTAGCTGCCTAGGTATTTGTCCTGATCCCTTTCCGGTTGACCTGGTTGTCTTGGAAGGATTCCCTGGCACACTGACACATCGTCCGTGCATAATTTTATACAACAACCAAAAAGAAACTGACGGAAACTCTGCCTAATCACAAAATGACCCAACCCCAGCAACCGTGCAGTGGTTCGCTAGGTCTCATCAAACAAAAGGGGACCTCGACGAGTGCGATAGATTGATAGATTGAAGCAGTTCTCCATGTTCTCCTCTTCTTTGAGATCTCGAAAGAGACCAAGTTCCGAACTGTACGTGCTGTTGTTCTGAACCACTTCGCCACGGACCCTCTGAAACAGCGCCGACCGAGGACTCCATCGGGACATATCCGCGCGCGCGCGCCAGTGCGCGCCGCGCCTGTGGAGTACTCAAAGGCTTGGGACTCCACCATGCGCGCGATCCGCGCTTGGCGCTCCTCCCAGGTCGTCTTGGGTGGAGCCACGGTCTCATCCTCAGGCAAAACAGCAGAATTGGGTGTGCATGTTGAGAGGGCCCGGAGGAGTGCAGTTGTTTTGTGTTGACTGTGCATCCCAGTTACCAGTATATATAAGGAACCAGGGATTCGTTCGGTCTATGGTGTTAGTCTTTGGGACCACTGGTTACCAGCTATAGTGGTTTGCCTGGATGCCCTGGGTGTGTTTGACGTTTGTTGATCAACATGTCGCGGGGGCAGGAGCGGAGGAGCGGACGGTACCGGTCCACCGGTCCACCGGGTCGCGTGATGCCCGACACTTGGGCGCAAGCAAGAGGTTGGCAGGTGTTGTTTTTTGGGTGGCTGTGTGTGTGATTGTGGCCCCAGCTGATTGGACACTTGTTGCAGCTGGTGCTGCGACACAAGAAAGTTGTGCAAAGATAGTCCGCTCAGGCTTGAGTGACTGTGAAACACGTCAAGCGTGTGAAGAGTGGACGAAGCATGCCAACTTGCCAAAGGACGAAGCATGCCAGGCTGTGGAATAGACCGGTGGATCTACCGCCACAAAGAGCGGAAACCTTGAAAGCCAAAAGAACAGATGCAAGTATATATATACACCTTTTTTTCTCCGGGTTTTTCAACATGAAAACACCACCAAGCCATCTTTGCAAATGACACCTGCCCATGGTTCAATACAACATCAAGGTCTTTGGATGTATAACGCACGTGGTACCATGAAAAATGGATGGGAACTTCCATTCGCACGTCGTCTGCGCAGTGCGCACCGCGCTGCGACACAGGCGACACGTGCGACACATCCAATCAGTCCAAGCTTCATGCCACACTTCTTCCAAAAGCTTTCCCATCTGTCCAGACAGCGGTTGTCCTCACTGACCAGCTCTTGAAACAAAAAAAGAGAGAACACCTCATTGAAACCTACCGACTCAGGAGCCCGAGCGGCCCCTGTCAACATCGGGCTCGGGCCCGTTCAATGGTTTTGGCTAGTTTTGGGTGCGCGGAGCGGGCGTTCTTAAGTGCAAATCAAAACCTCTCAGCCCCATCCACCCCCGGATTTAACAATCAAACACAAGAACGCGCAAAGAACAACAACAAACCAACAGAAAAAACAACTTCATCCGCTGCCAAGTCTTCTTAAGCTTTGCATGCTTCGCGCCGTATCCCGTCGAACCAGCTCCAACGTGCTCGGCTGCTCGTCTCCATCGTGCTCGGCTCGGGTTCCCTCACCGGGAGGGATGCCTCGGTCAGACACGCGGAGCCCGGAGGGGTCGGGTAGGTAACCCCCCAAAGACGAGGTGCTTGGTGAAAGCCATGCAACAAATAGGTGTCCAATTGTAAACACCTTTTTTGTCACTTAAGATGTACATGTTAATATATGTTAATATAATATTTATGTCAAGTGACCTTTTGATATCCCAGTTTGAGGTCACTTGGGCCCATAAAAGGTCACTTAGGCAGTGAAAAAAGAGGTCACTTGGAGGAAGCTGGAATATATCATTTAATGATAGGGCCGCCGGAGAAAATCAGGTGCTTGATGGTTTTGGGCCCCCGCCGGGTAGGACCCCTACCCGGGGCTACATAGATGCCCTCAGTTTTGGGGCGTTGGAGGTTGGAAAATTCTCCTTGACCAGGATGGTTTCCTTGTGAGCCTGCCATTCGATGCCAAGTGGTCTGATGCACACATGATGCCAGGCATCCCAGTTCTCAGGCTCGGCAGAACCACCCAAGCATCTCCATTTCTGGTCCCACAATTTCAAGCTACCCTGGGACTCAATAGTCGACTATCAAACACAATTAAAACATGGTCTGACTGTCAAAGTGATCTGAACTTTCCTGGACTTCAGTGGTGCCACACTTCCTCATTGGTGTTTGAAATGTCTCGACATTGTGATAGACCAACTGCTTTAAAATGATGACCGGCCCACCCACAAGTGATACTACCTCAAAGACATTACGACCATCCAAGTGGCATGCCTTACAAAGCTCTGGATTGCCTTCCAGGCGTGTCAACAAGTCCTTGATGGCCTCTTGCCACTGACCATGCTGTCGCTGCAGCAAGTCCAAACCTCAGTGAAACATGGAAGCAAAACACAACCTAGATGTGTTTCCCAGCCAATACCAACACTCTCACTTGCCAGGTCACTGGTGAAGACCTCATGACGGTCGTTTTTTTCGGCCCCTTCCACAATTTATCGAGTCCAAAGAGAGGAGACCTGGCAACCAACCGGGGCGGATCCACCCTGATCCGTTCCGCTGGTGACTTCGATTGGTGGGTGGCATCTGCATCTACATGGATGACCCCAGGGAATGCACCACAAATTCGATCAGCAAAACATAAAGAAATTCGGTCAATGCAACCTTCTTCATGCTTCTTCAGTAAAAATCCGCAAGTAAGGTAAGTAAACCAAAAAAAAAAAAACTTCCAACCAAACCCATGCCAACCAAACCCATGAAGTGTGGAGGGTGCAGTCCTGAATCTTCTCTGCGCTCGCCACGAAACCAGCTGAATTGAGACAATGCGTCGAATGGTCCAGCTGCTTTGCACCCGAGAAGCTGAGGCTAAGAGATCCAAACATGTGGGTTGTCACAGGGCTGGCAATTGATTGAAGAATTACAATTGGGTGAGAAACGCCCGCCAAATCCAACATGAGGGAGAGTTCTACCTCCGGCTGATCTAGTACCAAGATTGGCACCGAGCCCACTGAGACAACGCAGCTGCAACATTTTCCAACCCCTTCCTGCCCCTTTCCATATTAGTCTCCTTGCCCCTGTGCCAGTACGTGCGCAACGAGAACGCGGCTCAATTTCTGGGGAGGCGCTGCTCAAAGATTCCTGCTGCTGTTTCTGCACTTCTTCCAAGGCCCACTGGACACTCGACATGGCCCTCTGAGACGCAAAAGAGCCAAGCTGATCCCAAGCGACGTCCGACGTAGACCCGATTTGGTGCCGGAAACGCCCGGCTTCATAGAAAAAAAAATATACCACTGGTGTGTCACCAGGACCTGTGGCTGTGGAAAAATCAGTCACATATTCATCACATATGATCTGTGGTTCATAGCTGTGGGACCCAAATCCACCAAAATATATATATATGGAAGATGTATACCACGCCGTCTGCTTCCAGCGGACACCTCTTCTTTCTTCGGGCGGACAAACGTTCGCCCTCTAAACGTTCGAGCCTCAGTTTGATGGGCTGACTCCTCTCGCTGTTCCCCTAGGGCCCTAGTAAGGTTCACCTCTTTCCACCCTGTTGGATTTGGGAAGCAAATCCCTCCCATGCATGCAAGTCTATGTTGCCAGCAAAAAAAGGTTAAGACTTAGCAGAAAGAGTTGTGGAACGGACCGAACGGGCAGTGTATGTGGAAACAACTCCCAACCCACTGGGGACCAGTATAAACTTGTTAAAGGTCATCATCCACTGTTCCTGGGTAAGGCAAAACAAATTCCAATAGGCCACTACGTACAGCAATAGGATGTGGCAGGCCGGTCTGGTTATCTGCCCAAACGATTAGTAACAGAAACAACCAAAAGCACCCCCAGTTCGGGTGGTTGATAGGCCCAGTTGTGCCGAGGCTGGAAACCCATCCCATCACCCTTGAAAATTCTGGAACAATGGGTGGCGTCTGGCTTCATGTGCACATGCAAATGCACTCAGCCATTGGTTGCTATATTCATGCCATCTCTTCATGAACATGATGCTTAACAGCGAGGCTGCGGCACACGGCCCATGTGGCTTAAACCAACAAATCCATACAAATCCTATCCTTCGTCCAACGCGCCACGCGGCCCCAAGTGAAAACCACTTCAGGCAGTTTTCAGCAGGAACTCCAGGCCCTGACCAACTTAGCAAAGCCAATGGTTTTGGGGGTCGTGTAATGTTGACCGTCGGTTCGGATGATGAAGACCCCGCGCTCGCGACGACAGGCAAACGTTTGACACAGGTCCGGAAGCAGCTTGAGGATGTGAACTTGTGACTTGTGAACTCCAGTTCGGCGTCATGCCCACATACTTTCATGACGTCATGATAGCTGGTGGGTCTGTTCATGATGCAGGTCATGGGTCCGCATTGTCTCGCCTTTGGGAGCTGCCTGCAAAGGCCTCGACTTCTCCGGCAGATCCGCCCGGGGGGTGGTTCACAGGTCCACCGACCATCTACCACCCACCATCACACCTCGCATTCCACCTTCCCGTTTCGTAGCTGAGTAGCTCGGTGGTGGACGTCCAACAGGCCCCCCGTTTCGCCCCCGAGTTCGGGTCGCGGCGGCATCGCGCTGGTTCGTCCTTCTTCTTCACGGCGTCCGCAATGGTCTCGCGCTCGTGCTCCTCCCGGCGCCTCTGGCGTTCCACGTTGATCTCCTGCGGGGTTGTGGCGGGTCGGGTTGGAAAAAGAGGAGCGGACCTGACCAAGTGTGTCTCTTTACTATCAAGGCCGTTGGCATGATGCTGTCAAAGCTGTTGGCATTCCAGTCACCACCAACGGCCCTCAAACCCATGAAAAATCAAGGATCACATGTATACACAAATGTTGTTAGGAAAAAGCAGGTGTTTGATGGTTTGTTGGCCCCCCTAGCAGTTGATGTATCCCAGAACAGGCTTCGAGTGGCCTACTTGGTGATCAGTTGCGTCCTTGTTCTTGGAACGCAGGCCGTCCAACTCGCGCTTGAAGTCCAAGTATCTCTCCTGAACAGCACGCAAATCATTCATTAAGACATCTATCACCAGGGTTCACCGGTGCTTTTTGTTTCGGCCAATAGGTCTGGGTTTCATGTCGCCATGGGCCCCCCTGCACGACTGCATCAGGCTTTCAGGCGTGACGGAGCCCGACCAACTAACGGGCTGCTTCAGCCAAACATGCGGATGCTCCGCTTTCCAGCGGTCCTTCTCTTTGAGATGAGAAGGACCAGAACTGTTCATTCACTCCAACACTCAAATCATGTCACAATATGTCACAATAATCAGATCAATGCTGCCCAATTTAGAAACTTCACCCAAAAACTCTCTCTCTCTCTCACTCCCTCGCTCACTCACTCACTCCCTCACTCACTCACTCACTCACTCACTGCTCGGTGATGTCGTCACCGGGCCTTCTTGGCTTCGTGTTCCATGAGTCGGTACTCCGTCTCCTGCGCGGATTCTCCCCGAAGGAGGACGATGGAGGGTTCCTCCGGAGGGAGGTCATGTCTCATGTTTGGAGGAGCGATGAACAAAAAGAACATGGCATGTATACATGGGTGTTATTTATCAAGAGTCTGAGGAGTCTACATATATGTCTACATGATAGTCTCCAACAAAGGTTTGAAAAAACAAAACAAATCCACCTCATGCAGCCACTGGATTCTCTGGAGCCTCTCACCTCCTCTTGGCACTCGAACGCTCCACCTTCCCCGCCCCCGCCCCGTTGTGGGACGTCGTCGTGGGCGACGTGGGCTCCTCCTGTTGATCCAAGATCGCCGTCCTTCGCTCCTCCGCCTTGCGGATGGCTTCCTGGAAGCGCTGGAGTGGCATCGGCCAAGAGAAGTCACACAACACTCCATACCCCACTCCCACACCCATCCACCCCGCCCTTCATGTCCAGGTTGACTGTAGAGTGCTTCCCACTGGCACCCTGGTGTCTTCAACGATTGGGTGATTCGGATGTATTATGGCGACCACTATGTCCACTATTCACTTTGCTTCACCCATCTTCACCCATCTCAATGTGGCCTTCTCCCGATCTCTCCGCTTCTCCACGGTTTGCTCTGTACTAAAAAGCAGGGAGCCTGAGCCCATGATCGGTGTCCAAGGACCCATGTTCAACCACAAGACTTTCAGAAGGTGTGGATGGCACTGTGCTTCAGTCGCCGCCACCGGCGGACCGAAAACCAGTGAATCGGACCGAAATCCATCATAGAACCCCGGTGGTTCGTTGATGGCCTGGATGGATCCACCAAATCCATGCGCCCAGCGCGGCACAGCACCCTCCGAAAACCCAGGGCAAAAAGGCTCCTCCTTGATCATCTGTCGCTTCATGAGGGTACGGAACTGCTTCTTGGCCGTCTCCTCTGAACCTTACCGTCCGGAGTTAGGGCGGAGACGCGGTCTTCGACTGGGCGGAGGAAGCCGGGGTTCGGTCTGAGCGGTGTCTTCGAAAGGAATTCCCAAGGAAAGACCATCGGTTCTGCCCCAATAAGGAGTGGTTGTGC